AAGAACAGGGAGTATAAATTGGCCATAAAAAGATTTAGGCAGGAAATTAGTTCCAAGCAGAGAAGGGAGACTCCGGAAGAGCAACTCTGCAGGTACAAAAAAAAAAAAAAAAAAAAACCACTAACTACTTTTAAAAGGCAGCTTGATGGATTCTATTAAAAGAAACATATGATGCGTCGCCTGCAATAGCAAAAGACTTGACCCAGTGACTTGGGACATTCCTTGCAAACCTAAGGCTCTAAAGACTTCTCCCAGCATCCTCATCCACTCCCCATTCTACATCTTTTAAAATACAAACTATTAACATACAGTCTTTACTAAGCTGAAGTTTAAATGGGTATAACATACTATAGCATCATTATAATAATGCCATTATAATATTTCAGCCTCAATTTTAAGTGCAACTGGCAAGCTGTTTACATACAAAGTAACTGATATAATTAATTTATACCAATACTTCATCTCTTCCAGTACCTCAGTTCTCCAACTTAATTCTTCAGAGAGGATATGAAAGACTTATTTAAATTCTCTTTTTTTATTTGAGAAGAGCTAATTGAGTGTTTGAGGGTGAAGTCCCAGGCTAGTTATTCACAATTAACATAAAACTACAAGTGAGTGAAGCAACAGCTATAAAAATGATATTGTCCATCTTCAGTTTCTGCCATACACTAAGCTCCTCCAGCTCCCCTAACAGGAATCTTCAAATAAACAAAGAAAAAACAAACATCTACCCAAACTGCTCAAGTCAAGAGACATGGTCAGAGTACCACAACTCATTCATTTGAAACAAGGATCCTGACTTAGTGAAGAACTGCAGCAAGACATAGAGACTACAGAAAGTATTTATTACACCCATCTATTAATGCAAACAGTTTATCTGCAGGGGAAAAAAAAAAAAAACGTAGAACTAGCCTCCCAAATTCTATAAGTAAACCTGGTTTACCAACAAAGAGAAATGACCACTTACAAAGGCACTGATTTTCTCTGCCCCTGCAGAGCAAGACCCATTAAACACTTTCATACATTAAGCGTTTTCAACACTCCTAACACGTAAAACACACAGGATCGAATGTAATAGAAATTTTCTTATGCTAATCAAAAAGATGTCTTCTGAGAAGTCTCTGCAAATGAAAGCCAAACAATTAGGTATCCAGACCAAGGTCATACAGGGTCTGTAAGCGTGCCTTAAATACCTTTATCTTGTTATGTAAACTGACTACCGAGCCAGGAATAGAACTTGGGCGTTTTAATTACTCCATCTTGCGCCTGAAGTACCAAATCACTAATAAAAGTATATGTTAAGATGGAACTAACGTTTACCATTTTCCTACTGATTTGTTCAACCTTGAAACGTAAGCTTATAATTCATTCCCTCATGCTACCTATGCATAAATAGGACTGTTAAATCCTTAACACCTAAAGGAGAAAGGGTGTTACAACCAAACAAGCATGCGACAGTTCACTGTGAGACTACCAAGTGGGCAAATCAACTTAGTTCTTTATAAACAGCATCATTGTTGTGTAAAGTTAAAGCACATCCACCAGACTTTGTAAATTTATGACTGTAACTTCTTTCTCCCCCTAGACTACCATAAAAGGCTACTATAATAAAAAGCTTGAACAACAATTTTTCCTCCATGAAAAAAATATTTGGCTTACTTCGGATTACGTGAACCTCACCTGAGGTGAAGTTTTGGATTTTTGTAGTTTACACAGTCCTTTCTCACTCCCCCACCACTAGTACAGGGAAATAGTGAAGTATTAAAAAACAGCTATTGCACTGAAGTAATTGACCAATACTTCTGCAAAGGACTATTACCTACGAAAACCTGAATCTGACATGGCTTCACTATGGAGCTTAGGGCAGAATTCCTTACAGATCCACAGACAGGCATCAATTTCTCTCCAAACAGATACTACAGCTTTACAGGTATCACTACCTGTATATCATCTCTGAACACTAATAACAAAGCATGTTTCTAGACGTAGTCCTAACCAAAACACCTATCCCAAGCATCAGTCACAGACATGATAAAGGGACAGCTTTCAAGCTGCTAGCTTATCACAGGGAGCAGAAAGGCATTCAGTTTAACACAAGGCTTCTGTAGTAACGCAGAATTTGTAATTCCTCCGGCAAGATACATAAACATTTCCCTCAGCATTCACCACTAACCTTAAGTCAAGTTATTTTGAGGACAGAAATCTCCCACCTGGTGGCTGCTGGGGCCAGAAATACTGCTGCCAGTCTTGAAGCACATACGTAAGCCGAATGGCCATGCTAACTGGAGGCAGGGGTGTTAGCGGACATCCCTTGAAAACAAACAGTATAGGAAAGATTTCAATTTAAATAGTACATCCTGAAGAACAATATTAGGGCTTGACCAGATCTTAGTTACAATAGCTTGCTTTAGAACTGTTCTTCTCAAAACTGCCACACTCTAAGAATTACTAAGAAAACTCTATTAGCTCAGCAAGACCCTTGCACATAAAATTAAGCCTATTCTGCTGAAGTCCATGAGATATTTACACGTTCCCCTTCACTGGTAACTTACAGGCAACTCTGATCCAAAATGTGTTAGGTTTTCATTAAGGATTTTTTTAATTATTATTTTCAGCTTTTGGGTGAGATTGCTGATTATCAATACTAGTTGCAGTCAGCCATACCACTCTGTAAAAAGAAAGTTCATTCAGACCCTTCAGATTTCAATCATGTTGTTCTTCACCCTTAAATTTACCTAAATATAGGTAAATTGAATTATTTAATTATCAATTACATTTTTTTATATATTTATCTCTAATTATCTACAGCAGGAGCTATAAATTATCAGAATAAAAATCCACCCTGTCCTTTCCCTCTCCTGTTAAGCAGCAACCAGGTTTTTTTCTGGGAGGGAGGAAGACAGTGTTGTTACAAGCAGACTAAGACATTCTATCACATGCTGATGGAAAACGAAGAAGGAAAAATGTGATCAAACTGAGTAATAAAACTCATGTTGATTTTTGCTATTTATTGTCAGATAAGAAATGCCAGTATCTGGAAAAAGTCTTTGTTGATATCAGCAGTGTCATCCTCATCCTTTAAAAAAAAAAAAAAAAAAAAGTCTCTAGGCGTCAGAAGTCCATCTAACGGCAAACAGGTAATAAAATAATTATTCTAAATACTAGTTATATGCACACAAATACACTTACAATCTTGGATTTGAAGATATCCAGTAAACCTGATAAATGAGTATACTGATTTGGCACTTTGCGAAGATGAACCATTTCAAAGTCGGTTCGAACTCCTGGACCTTGACATTCTCCAACATACATTCGTCGCCATTTATGATGTATTTGCACAAAGAGTGGTACCTGACTATAAAACATTAGTATTTCAGATTAAAGTGTTATACTGTCTTGCAGGCTTTAAAACTACTTACATGTTTTGATGTAATTTCATATCTGTTAACAGATGTACAAAAACATTGTCATAAAGCAGAATTTTTCATTTAGTGGAACACTTTAAAATACTTAATGGCAGTCACAACAGATACTGTTAACTCCACCATTAAATGGCATGCATAACAGACCATGTCATAAATAAAGCCCTATGAATAACTGAAAATCAAATAACTGAAGATAAGACATTTCTTCAGAAAATTCAGAAACTTGCATTTATCACACATACAGAAGTAATCATGTTTGATGGGGGTGTGTGTGTGTGTGTGCGTGCGTGTGTGCGTGTGTGTGCGCACACGTGTCCCCATATTCTGCACACTAGCTATTCTAACAGATTATATGAGCTTTTAAAAGCCTTTGAGGCTTTTAAGTAACAGTGAACATAAACAACATACTGAGTCAAAAGTTTCCATGGGAAGATTTTTAAGACAAAAATTTTTCTCTAACAACATTATGGTGCACATACAGCAAATTTAGATTATACTTTGCTAACAAGTTAATACTTTTTCTCACAATAATTTGTATTAGCATTAGAAAGTCGTATCTGGACACATTAAAAAATGGTTTATGCTTTCACCTACCAACCAGTGTTCCCCAATGCAATGGAAACGGAACTCAGCAGAAGGTTACACTTGGATTCACTAAGAACTGCTTCATTATTTACAGCTGGAGCAATAACCACAAATTCACGTAAGCCATACCTTGAGAAAAAGAAAGGCATACATTTCTGTTTTCCAGCAAATCAGCTGAAACATAGAGTTTTTAAAAATAGTATAAATGAATAACCAAACTGTCAGCAACAGATTGTGGAATCAGTTATTTTGACATCTTTCAAGAGAGGTCAGGAACTGACTGGGCATAGAGTACTGCAGATTCTTAAATCACAAACTAAGGACATTTAACAGCATTCAAACACATTATTCAAAGTCATGTGAAGACTTCCAGGTCCATCAGTCCTGGGTTTCTTCAGACAAAATATTCTGCAAAAGGAATGGAAAGAAAAACGCAAGAACATTCACATGAAACAAGCCCTTCTGTGAGAACGCTAGAGCACTGTCTAGCAAAAAGATACAGTGAAAAGCAAATATAAATTTTAATGATTGAAGATACCTGTGGATAACTTGAGATCCTAAGTGACAAGTTTCAGAAAACTGCTTTTAATAACAATGACAGAACAGAAGCTGAAAATACTGTTAATGCATGCATGAATGAACTCAAACCCATTCCAGTAAGTGACATAAGACTATTAAAGAACAGGGTACTCTAGCGAACAATTTGAAGAGTCTGGAACAAATAACATCAAGAGGTCGAGACAATAATTTGTAAGTCCTAAAGCAGCTGGTTCAACCTTATTTCCTTTTTCAAACAGTAGGTTTCCAATAGTGGAGACTTAGCAAGTCAAAGTACTTCAACTCAGACTGACCGGAAGACCCCTGAGCAAGCTGTGAAATAAATAATTAACTCTTTTAAAAAAACGAGAGACCTGATATAGGAAGTACAACGGAAATAGTGCTATTATATTACAAAAACCTGTACAATTTGAGGGTTTAAGATTGAGAATACGTGCAAACAAAATACCTTTCTTATTTCACTGATATTTTCTTCAAAAATATTCCTATTAGAAATAAGGTATGCTTCGCTCTGTTTTGAAGAAAACTCCTTTGAACAGATTCTGTTTTACTACAGCTACTGAACTAAGCAGATAATCCTGCTAAAAGGTCAGTTAATGCACTGCTTCTAACCTGTATCTCAAGTAGGGCACATTAGTTCAGTCTCAGCATCATGCTGATATGCTCATACAGCTTCCAGACTAAAAAAAAAAATTCACTGATATATTGATTGTCTGCATTTAATCATGTAAACATCCGAGCAGTTTTTCAGAATGACCAATTATCACAAGCATATCACAAGTTTTAAGATGGCATTTTTCAAAGACTTTTTTCTGTAATATATACATTTTTTAAAGTACCATTACTATGGAAAATAATTAAAATTCTCTTTAGTGTAAGCACAAAACATTATGCCTGATGCTACTCGAAAGCTTTACATATCCAAATTTTTCAGCTTCATTTTTAATTCTGTCATTAGCTAATCTACACTTTAACCCAATGTTTCAAATACAAAGAATCATTTTATTTAAGCTTTAACTCCTGACGTAAAAAATATATATTTTGCCAGTACGAAAGATTTTTACACTGCTATGCTTTCTCATATTAAGACAGACAGTAGGCATACATACCATCTTACCAGACAATGAGCTCTAGGAGGAAAGTCATTGTTCATACACAGCAAGTCCTGCATAGGCAGAGGAAGGGCATCTGTGAAAAAAACATGATACGTAAGAGCATCAAAGCCCATTCAGCAGATTTGCAGAAGTTTTTCTTAAATTAAAGCAAAAAAAAAAGTTTTAACTAGCTTTATCTTCTTTTAGAAGATTTCAAATAAGTTTTTTATATATATTTCCTACATTTTAATATATAGGTAATATTGAAATAATTTTGAAGTATTCTTTGGTCAACCGAATTATCCTCTCAGTTTACTTTCCTGGCATTAAAAGAAGCAGAGCAAAATATATGCCTGCTACAACAACCAGAAAGTAACTTCCAGCTGCTACCTCTTCCAGTTTTCCCTCCATTCAACAGTATATCCTTCAGGACTGAAGAGGATATCTCCCCTACTCAAAACATCATTCTTCTGAAATCTATCACACACAGCCACGAGGTCTCCAGAAAGAAATAGGAGTTAATTTGCAATATATTCCAGCAAAACCAGAAGAATACAAAAATTCCATTTTTTATCCCAATAAGTGAGCCAGCTACATCAGAAAGCGAAAGAGTAAAATAATTTAATAAGCTCCATAAGCCTATTAACTCAGCATACCCGAGAAAGCACTGCCACAGGAAAGCAGCAAGAAGGCAAAACACAAGAACACAATTGCATCTTGGAAAGCATGCCTATCCCTCACAAATATTTCTCAAGGTCCAAGGGGACATGTGCATATTTGGAGGGGAAGGCAGCCAGGAAGCCTAATCTAAAACGTGTTGCAAATCACTGCTTGGAGGTGTTCAAGGATGTGAACATTTTTAGAAGCTAAAGGATGATATACAAGAAGATAGTACTGCAGGATCTTGCATTTTTGAAGAAACACTATTTCGCGACCATGAGCCTAAATATAAAACATTAATCATCACAGAGTATAAGCACTAACAACAATAATAAAAACTGAACATTAAACTAAAAGGCAATATATCCAACAAAAGATGCCACTTAATTTGCCAGAAGCCATCATATGCTACAGATAGTTGTGATTTGCATGAATGCACCATGATCACTTATGAATTGCTAAGCCAAAAGTGTAAATTTTCAGAAGTACAAAAAAGCATCCAGCTCACAGTCGTACCTTTGAGAGTCCTACACAAGAATCAGAATACTGGGAAAACTAAAGCTACTCTCGTATGCTTTCTGGTTTCTCAGAACAGCAAGCAGATGATACAAAATAAAAGGCATTGTGGATTTCTCATAGGTGCAGGAAGATAAACTTTGAATTGGGGCGGGGGGGAGGGGGAGGGGGAAGCACACAAATATCATTTTCTTTCCTTAGGAGGATTTGCTAAGCATTTCAGGAAAAAGAAAAACATCTAGCCTTAACACAGAACTGTAAACGGACGCTGGTTAGGTATCAAAGCAATAGAGGACACTACCGCTATAGAAATTCGTAGACAATACAGTAATATTCCTAGGAATAAAATCCTACGTTATCTATCATTACTTGTCAGGAAGTACTGTAACGTAAGCATATCCTGACTGCATATCTGCATGTCTGAAACTGAAAAAGTACCCTAAACAGCAACAGGTTAACTTTTTCTAAACTTGTATCTATGCACCAAGTGTGATATTACAGCAATGTAACACAGTTCACTTATGTTAGCAATTTGTTGAACGTGAATTTGTTGAACGTGAAAGGCAAAAATGTCAGATCACCCCCATCAGACCCCCAACATCCCTAGTTTAAGTCAGCACAGCATACTCCCTTTTCTTGAAAAGGGAAGTCAAACTATGAGTTTTATAAAAATCAAGTTCAGTGAACAGTCTGCAAATTAACAGCAACAGGTAGGTGAATTCTGTACTTCATCATAGGCTTGCTGATGCTGTTAATAAATATTGAACGGTGCACTGGTTTGCTGGGAGGAGGCTGCTTGCATAAAAACTATGGATATATGATCCTTACTTTGAGTAATTCAAGAGATTCCCTCTGCCTCCCATTCCCTTTTTAGAACCAAGATTAAAAAAAAAAATGAAGAAATAAAAACTAACTATGGTAGCAAAGTTAAAGACATAGTTAATCTTAGTAAGTTTCCCTTCAAAACTGAAGGGAACATGTTTTATTTTGCTAATGTGCAACTATGAACGGAGGAGTAAGTGCTCATAGATTACTTTTACTATCCAAAGACTTGAGAGACCTGTTAATTTTATATGACATCAATTACAAAAAGTTTCCAGAACTCTGCAAACCAATTATTTGTTATTTTCTATTTTTCTAAACTGAGACTGATGAAAGGATCTCCAGGAACCTACTGCAATGATTAAAACAAAACAAGCAAAAATAATCAAAAACTTTGTATGTATTATTTGAGTAGAAACAATTTAAAATATTAAACAGAAGATACGGATTCCTAATATTTCAAACACAGCAAGATATGCAGCTGACAGTTTAAGACAGCATTCTGAAAACCTCCAAAAATTTCTAGGAGAATCAAATTAACGCACTGTAAATTCAACACTCCAAATTATCCTTTATCACATGATTAAGAAACTTATCACACATTTTGGACATACCACCTACCTTCTACCAATTCTTCTTTCCCATCTTTGTCACTGGGTTCTTGTGCAAGATAATGATGGGTAACTGAGAATTTGAAATCTGCAAATGAAATTTCATCTGATTTCTCTTCCCATGCTCCTGTGGTATATACCCCCTGCATAAACAGGTAGGAAAAAAATACTATTTGATCACAGATATTTAAGCTAACTTTCATGACCCTTAAAAAAACATATATTGCCCACGTGATTCATAACATTTATCCATCTTTTTTTTTTATCTTGCTTCTGAAGTTTTATTCTAAATAGCTAAGTATGCTTTAATTTAAAAAGATAATGCTCAAAACTCTTCATAAAGTTAGCTGAATGCCGAAATCCACGTTCCCAATAAGCATGTTCATTTCAAGGACCTGATATCTCCCCTAGAAGTCTTCATAACTATATGGCAATCAAGAGGGATCCATATTTCCTTTTATGGATCTTAAGAGTATGCACTGCCAACTTTGTCCAAACACAGAAGCTTCCCAACTGGGACCCTATCCATACCTACCATTCTATGCAAATATTTCTTTTAATATTTACCGCGAATCTGATCTCATTGATACATGACTTTGTATCTATTATTTGCAAAACCTGTGTGTCTGAAGGGTAACTAATTTTTAAACAGAAATACGAGATAGGAAAACATATATGAAAAAGTCACATCACTGTACAGAATTGTACAGCTGCTACTAAAATAAAACAACCTGCAGAATTCTTTGATTTGTAAAGGGTGTCCTCTCACCAGAAATCAAGAAGGGAGGGCTGGCCTAGAAAACAAGACATGTAGGAGTACACTGACAGCTAAGGTTGAAAACTATTTCACTAGACAAGTGAAGTTTAATCCTGAACACGTTGTATGCTGACTAAAATTAAGGATCACAAAACTCCCTTTGGAAACACAGCAGCCATTCAATCCAGAGCAGCTGAATTTATCTGCACTTGTATGCAAAGAGCTCAGTAATTTCCCATGTGGTGTATGTGACTGAAGAAACACTACAAAGACTCTAATTACACTTTGAAAAGAATCCTTCTGATCGATGAAATGTACTGAGTCAGAAGTAATACTATGCAAACCTCAACCACAAGCACGAGGCGTGACAAAGGCAAGGGGATAAGAGAAAAGAAATTCCTTGAGAATCTCAAACAGCTTCAACCATGTTTCCAGACTCATAACTGGGAAATAAAAAAAAAAAAAAAATACTAGACTCTAGATGAAGATCCACCTTTACCAGGAAAATTGACAGGTTGGCAGACAACTCACCAATAACTAATTTACAACAATTTTTGGCCACATATTCATTTTTATAAGTGAAATTCCCCAAAGCAAACCATTTTCTACCACACTTAAGAAAATGGCAGTCCAAAGGATAAGTTTAAGTATATACGTGTGCATTACAAGTTACTAATTCCAATTCTAAAAGAAAACTCAGAAGCAGTAACTGACCTTTTCTAGAGGTTTGCCTGAAGAAATCCCAATAAGTTTCCAGTCATTCAATACTTCTTCTATTCTTGAAATAAACCTAGCAGGGAGGGGAGAAGGCATTAATATTTCCTAAACACTAAGCCCACCTCATAATTCGGCTCCCTAAAAGCACGCAGTATGTTGTCCTACTATGGAATTTCCGAAAAACAAGTATTACCTAACTCATTTTTAAAATGCCTATACAAAAGCAGCAATTTGTAACAAGTAAGACCCATATTTCCTGTTACTAGTCTCTCTTGTGCTGAATTCAGGAGGTTTTAATACACACCTCACAGTGAACTCAAACCAACAGTAAGCAGTTCGCACATAAATGTTTCAGCTCTGTAGCTTGACAGCTTCCATTCAGTGAAGACACCTAAGCAATATTCAGTAACGCAAATAAAAGGCTCTGTGTCGTATCCATAGGTGGCAGAACGCAATCTACCAAACCATGCAGTATTTATGGACAACTCTGGTGTGACTGACTCAAAATGTATATTTTTAAGTAATGGAAATCTTATTTAAAAGGCACGATTAACTCTAATAAAAGCCTGTTTACTGTCAGATACAGTAAAGCGAACTTTACCTGCAACATTGCTTTCCAAATAAAACTATAAAGGCCTGCATGAAGCACAATCCAAAGTATAAAGTTAGTCAAATACTTAAAGCAGTAACCAACACAGAACAGCTACGTCCTTACACAAAGTTGGACTTCTGTGTCCGCATTTCAGGTGCTAGTGCTTTTTCTTGACTGCTATGAGCAAGCTTGGAGTAACACAGAATCTCCACCTCTTCCCTCCCCCCACCCCCACCCCCCCCTCCCCTAAATATCAGTTTTAGCACAAGAGACTTCTGCCTCATTCTCCACAGGCAAAGCAACGCAAATACAGGATTATAAACCAAATTCTGTGTAAGAAACCTAGCGCTTGGAACCTTCGTCTCCTTCTGTCACAGACATCGCCACAGGAAAAAGCATTAAAACAAACAAAACCATACGTATATGTAATAGGAAAAACGCAAGCGCATTCTTAGATATTCTTGTATATCTTTAGCTAACTTGTAAATGCCTTCGCACGTGACATGCCACATGACATTAGGAAGTTACGGTAAGGAAAAAAAAAAAAAATTTAAAGAGGCATATAAGCCTCCCAGAGGTTTACCCTAACCTTCCGCAAGCTAAACCCGGCCGCTGCCCTCACAGGCGGCCTGA